TCTTCTTCTTCTTCTTCTTCTTCTTCTTCTTCTTCTTCTTCTTCTTCCTCCTCCTTGTTCTTCTTTCTCCTTTTTCTTCTTTTCTTCTTTCTTCTTCCTTCTTCTTTCTCTTCTTCCTCTTCCTCTTTTTTTTCATCTAGGTTAGTCTGAGTGTCTTTGTGGCTTTGCTTGTCTTAGAGTGACTCTCAGCAACCTAGCTAGCTAGTTTATTATGGAAAAGAGAGGATTACTGAATCAGGACAGTTTCAGGGACTCCTTGAAGCTATTTTGAGTTATATACCTTCCTGCTTAAGGAGCTTCCGTGCAGGATGGAATATTTCAATCTCAAGGAAACTGTCATACAAAAAATTCCCATGGACTTTCAATGTCTCCAGGCCTGACAGAGAAATGTGAACCAGAAGAAAGACAGTGGATGTGACTGAGACAACAGTACAAACTGATGCTTTAAGAGAGTGTTATATTTCAAATTTAATGAAGACGAATGACAATATGAGCAAACAGATAGGAATTTGTCACCACAGTGGCAAGACTCCAAAATATGAACAAAGTTTGGCATTTTAAGTATTGTTATGTGTTCTGGCCTCAACCATGCAACATAGAACTGGATAAGATCACCATTCAGGCTTATTTGAGATTGTCTAAGAGTTTTTCATTGTGAGGAGATGGGTCCAAATAATTATTATCAAGTACACTTAAGCTAGCAGTATTAACAGCAAACTTAAAGAACAATACACCTAAGAATATAACTTGATACTCACTTCCATACATCAGCACTTAGAGTTAGTCTTAGACAAAGAGAAACATTTCTCTTTTGGTGTATGTCAGCTCACACAGATCTTTAATTCACATCTCACAAGTTATAGCCTCCATGTAAATACAGCATCTGGGTCAGATACAAGAAAGATTTTTACACTTTAAGACAGAGTATTATGGTATGTTAATAATATAATTTTTAATTAAGTAAGCAAAAATATATAAACAGGAATAGATACAAATAAAAGAACAACTATAGATGATTGTAATGTTGTAGCATTCAAATCTACTGTAAAACCAAACACTTAGGTTCAATTCAAATTTAAATTAAATGAATTTATTAGCATTGGGTCAAACAGTATGCCGTAGCAACGCTAGCTAAAAGGAAAGTTTACAAGTGTGTACAGAAAAAGGTGTGCATTACAGTTATCTATGGAATCTACAGATGGGCAAGAAAACAGTTTTACTCTCTTTTGTATCTCTTTCCCATTACGTAGTAATAAAAAGAGCAATTCATCCCAGTCTCACAGAGATAAGAGAGTTTTACAAAAATCAAACTAATACCTATACCATTAACTTATTCTTCTTTCTCTTCTTTCTCCTTATTCTTCTCTCTTACAGTACATACCAACCTCAGCCTCCCTTTCCTCCACTTTTCCAAGTTTCCCTGCTCCCCTCTCTACCAGGTCCACTACTTCCCCCTTCCCTTTCATAAAGGAGTAGGCCTTTCAAGGAAATCAACTAAACATGGCATAACAAGATACAATAAGACTAAGCACAAACCTAGTATCAAGGCTGGATGAGACAACCAAGCAGGAGAAAGGGACCCAAGAGTAGGCAAAGGAGTCATATACACCCCTACTCCCACTGTTAGGATTCCCACAGAATGACCAAGCTAAGCAACCACAGCACATATACAAAGGATCTAGCACAGACCCATGCAGGCTCTTTAATTGCAGCTTCAGTCTCTGTAGCCCCAAGAGCCTTGTTTAATTGATTCTGTGGGCCATATTCTCCTGGTGTCCTGGACTCAAGTGCCTTTTTACAATCTTTCTTTCTTTTTTTCTGCAGGGTTCTCTAAGCTCTGCCTAATGTTTGTCTGAGGATCTTCCCATGTGCTCCATTCAGTTTATTAAGGAAGCCTATGTGATGATTGGGTAGAACCTATGAGTTTAGCAGAATACCATTAAAGATCATTTCACTGACTTTTTTTTTCTGCCAGTTGTTTGGTTATACTCTAGGTCTCTGGGCCATATAGCTTCTGGTTCTTAGCCATCTGTGCAGTGTCAGGCATTGGCTCTCTACCCTGGCTTAGGCCTCAAGTTAGACCAGTCATTAGTTGGCCAAAGCTGCCAGAAGCTCTGAGCCACCATTGCCTCAGCACATCTTGCAGGCAGAACAGATTGTTGTTTAAAGGATTTGTGGTTGGCTTGGGGAAAGATTTTCACCAACTCCACATCTAATAGAGGTATAATAACCAAAATATGTAAAGAACTGAAGAAACTAGACATAAGCAGACTAAACGATCCAATTAAAAATGGGGTACAGATGTAAGAAGAAAATTCTCAATAGCAAAACCTGAAGTGGCTGAGAAATGTTCAACATTCTTAGCCACCAGGGAAATGTATATTAAAACTACTTTGAGGTTGCATCTTCAGACTGTCAGATGGCTAAGATCAATAACACAAGTGACAGCACATATGCTTAGATATTGGCCTTCAGATCTTTATTAAACCAATCAGCAATTGAGGAATGTGAGGGTTTACAAAATATGAGGCCAGTGATGGGCCATGCTAACAACACCACCAAGATCCAGCTAGTTCTCAGCTCCCTGCTGATTTAGCAATCAACAACTGAATATATGGAGACCCAGCTTCACATAGTGCACCCTAACATCCCCACGCTTTTGTCTAATAGATGCCTTTTATCTTACATCAGTAAATCACACACTAGAAGAACAATCACGAGAAATGTTAGGAAAGAATGATATTTACAACAAGGTTGCCATTTGTATTTGGCAACCTTGGAGAAACTCCACTATAAATCTTACCTTGATAAGTCTGAAATTTTGTATCTAAATCACTTTCTATCAATCACTATTCAAGATTTCACATAGAATATCTTTTTAGACCCTAAAACGTTTTCTTAGATCCTAAACAACTTAAGCTGCTATGTTTCAACTCTATAAATAAAACACTTCTTTTGTTGTGAGTTTTATTTTCTGAATCGGATAATAAGGAAAATTATAAGCCTGTAACTTATCTACTCTTCAATCCCATCAGAGACCTGAGAAGGATAAACTTCACCGGAGTAAACAGGAAGTGCAGAGCATGTAGCTTCCAAAACTATAGAAATGACAGAGACTCCTGGCCTGCCACCTTTTCTCTTAGGAATGAAGGCGCTGTGTTCCTAAAATTTCTTCCCGCTAGCTGGGAGTGAAGGCATCTTTGGCGATCCTAAGAAAACTGGGATAGTCACCAAGCTGTGGGAGAGATAGCTGTTTCATTTGCTTTCCAGGCTCTGTGGCACAGGAAAATGCAGGACTTAACTGAAGTCCTGGCAGAAGCAGTCTGTGAGTCTGCATCATCTGAGCTACCCTCTTTGAAGTTGTCTTGGTGGCAGACTATATCATTATTATTATTATTATTATTATTATTATTATTATTATTATTATTATTATTCACAACTTACTCATTTTATATCCTGATTGTAGCCCCCTCCCTCATCTCTTTTCAGTACCACCCCCCTTTTTCTTCCCCCCCACCTCCTTCTTCTAGTCTACTGAAAGGGGCCTTCTCCTGCCCTGCCATCTGACCCTTCCTTATCAAGTCTCATCAGGACTTCCTGGACCCTCTTCCCTTGTGGCCTGGCAAGGCTGTGTCACCAGGGAAAAGTGATCAAAGAGAAGGCAATGGAGTTCATGACAGAGGCAGCCCTGCTCTCCTTACTTGGGGACCCACATGGAGACTTGCTGTCTCTTGGCTACATCAGAGCAGAGATTCTAGGTCCTCTCCATGCATGGTCCTTAGCTGGTACATCAGTCTCTTCAGGGCTCCCTGGGCTCAATTTTTTTTGCTTTGTTGATTGATCATCCTGAGTGAGGTAACTCAGAACCAGGAAGACACGCATGGTATATACTCACTTATAAGAAGATATTAGCCATATAATATAGAATAAACATACTAAAATATATAGACCTAAATAAGCTAATCAAGAAGACAGACCCTAGGGAGGATGCTTAAATCTCATTCAGAATGGCAAACAGGATAGAAACTAGAAGCAGTGGAAGGGAGGGGACAGTATGAGAGTCTACCAAAGAAGTTCTCTGAAAGGCTCCTCCCAACAGGATATTAAAACAGATGCTGAGACTCATAGCCAAATTTTGGGCAGAGTCCAGGAAGAAGGGGGAGATAGAAGGACCCAGAGAGCTGCTCAAGAAGACCAACAAAGCCAAACTGAATGTATATTTTTGAGAAAAATCTCAACTAAGGCAGTCCGTTAGGCTGAATCACTTGGAATACTTACTTAGTCTTCATTCAAGTATGGTCCCACAAGTTCTGCAGCCACATCTTTCAGGCAGGACAAACTGTAGGTCAATGGTTTTTGTGGCTGGATTATCTACATAGATTCATTGGAGTTTCCATTGTACGAGGTTTCTGTCTTGCCATTAAGATGCCTCCAATTCCAATGAATTCCCCCAGTACCCTCTCCCTTCACCCCAACTTGATTCCTCCTGTTTCCATCTTTTGAGTTTTAAAAGTATCAATTATCTTTTATGAATGACCCTAATTAAAAATTTAAAAGAAGGGAGATTTCGAGACAGAACAATTTTATTTAATTAATTAATTTACTTACTTACTTACTTACTTACTTATTTTTGGTAACACTCAACAATGTCAAAAATTTAAGAAAATTTTTATTATAATAGAGAATGTTATACATTCCTAATTTGAGACAGAATAATTGACAGTTATAAATTAGAACTATGACAAAATAATTTATAGTAATGTAAATATTTTTCACATGTTTCTAATAGTCTTTTAAAATTTTAAATATGCTAATTATATTTTCCTAACTTCAGATACGTTAGAAATAATGTTATGTAACTTAATTGCCTGTTATATTTAACTGAAATAACTTTAGTATATGATTGAAATATTTATTGTATGACACTAACTTTAAATATGAGTGAAACAATTTTGTGTTGTGAGAATAGAGAACTTATAACTTTAACATTGATAATTATCTGCAGCAATCAGAACCAGTGAAAACAACTTTATTTGATTAATCAATTTTATAATTAATACGTTTCACTATGTTACATTTCTCAGAGACTTTCATATTGATTTAGGGGCTGTATCAAAGCTAGTAGGCAGAAATTTTCATAAGGAAAAGGGTTCCTGACACTTTCTATGAATGTACATGAGAGAGATAAACTTATGAATGATTAACTGTATATTCTAATTATCTTACTTTTCAAGAAAGAGAATGCAGCATTCCCATTCTAGAACCACACTTAGACGTTAATCCCAAGAAAGAAAAATATAAAGTAGGAGATTTGTTGAAATTCTCTTGCCGACCAGGATACAGAGTTGGAGCAAATTCAGTACAATGCTACCACTTTGGATGGTCCCCTAGTTTCCCGACATGTAAAGGTCAGTATTTGTTTTACATTTGACAAATGGAATCAGAAGTTTATTTTTCTTGCCTTAACATTCCCCAGTCTTCCAGTATGTCTATAGTTTAAAGCATATTCAGATATGTATACATCCAATAAAGATATGTATTGTGTGGCTAAGACACAGTCACTTATTTATAAAGTTATTCTCAAGCTAAAATGTGTATCAGTGTGCTTCTACATGCAGACATGATTACTAAGACCGAAAAGACATCTTTTATTTTGTCTACATTGCCATTAATGCTTGTATTTTTATAACCTAGGCCTTTCCTCACATTGAATAGAGTATGTCCAAACAGTATAAAAATTATAAGATGGACATTTTCATTTATATTTACATATACTTCTGCAATAGGTGAAGTAGGATCATGCAATCAACCTCTTGAAATCAAAAATGGGGAAATTAAAGGAACAAAGAAAGAAGAGTACAGCCATGGTGATGTGGTGGAGTATGATTGCAAACCTAGGTTTCTGCTGAAGGGACCCAGTAAAATCCAGTGTGTTGATGGGAACTGGACAACCTTGCCGATATGTGTTGGTAATTAAAAACATTAATACTTCAACACTGTTTTTTTAACTTATATGAAGCCTTGATCATAAATACACTTTTGTGAAACATCTACAGAGGAAGAGAGAACATGTGGAGACATTCCTGAACTCGAGCATGGCTATGTCCCGCAATCTATCCCTCCCTACCACCACGGATACTCAGTGGAGTTCACTTGTGCAGACACATTCACAATGATTGGACATGGTTCAGTTTCATGTTATCGTGGAAGGTGGACTCAGCTTCCTCAATGTGTTGGTAAGTCAGTGTGCCTCAAATTGATACTTTATAAAATTTAGTATTTTTATTGCAGAGATATTTGCTATTATATACTTATGAAGTTAGTATTCTTTTTGGAAATATGTAGTCTTAAGTAATATGAGTCCAAAATTTCACTAGTCTTAAATAATGTGAATCCAAATTTTCATTGTTTATAATTTGATGCATGTCTACAGATAATTATCAATATGACCTGTAAATTTTTCTTGGTTACCTTAAGATAAATCAGGTTGCTAGCTTTACATTTTCATGTGACTAACATGTGACTGTGACTACCCAAGAAGATATGTACAAAACTATCATTTCTGCTATTATATGACACTTTCCTTTCAAGTCTTGGAAAGCTAAGAAATAAATCATCTATTTCCTATTCTCCTATAACAAATGTTCCTCTCTAAGAACATCTATATTGCTTGTGTTTATTCTTCATGTTGCAGACTGAAGTCACCAGGCTGAAGGTGGGATTATAGGCCCTGTCATCACCTATAGAACTCAGCTATACCAAAACATTTGGGGTTGGATAAGAAACATTATCCCATGGGTCACTTCAGTCTACACTGACTCAGAATGTTCTTTTGGTGATTGCATCTTAACAAGTGGCTGAAAGCATCTTGGAGCCTACATTCTCTTTTCTCTAAAACTACAGGGTCTTAGAGTTATCTGGGGTTATTCCTTCAGCATGGTTCCTGGTGTCCATTCTTTACTCTTCATTGGAGTTTTAGATGTTGCTGACTGCCAGGGAAATGTGCTCTTTGAAAACGGCACTTAGACCTGTGTTGCTTTGATATGTTCTCCATACCCAGAAGGCCAACAAACTTCATGACAGTTTTCCATGTAAATCAACACCTCTACTGCTTATTAATCCTCATGTTTTTTTTTTTTTTTTTGGTTTTGGTTTTGGGTTTTTTTTCTCAACAAACACATTTTGTCAAACCTATTTTCATCATTGCTTTAAAACTATTTAACAAATAATTTCATATGAAGAAAAATCAGACACCATTTCATGCATGGAAATTCAATTATCTATAGTAAGTTACAAAGTGCTGCTTTATTATTAGTTCAGATGTCAGGGATTTGTTCTGATGGTTAATCTTCCAGTAGCCACCTTTAGATGACTCTCTCTAGTTAACTCTTGCTATTAGCATTATGGTACCAATATTTCTATGAAAAAAATATTTTTACCCTACTACTAAATATTCTTACTTTTCTCAATATCTTTAGCTTTCTCTTGACATTTCTCTTGAGACTCTCTGAGAAGCAAATCAATCACATAGTCATCATGCTCCTTTGATTTTCTTTATACTGCATTAGCTTTTGTCTTCTTGTGAACCAATCTTTAGGAAGAAACTAATTCTCAGGAGCCTTCAGTGCTTCCATCACTTTTGTCAATATTTTATAAATATTGTTTGTAAAGCAGTTACACTACTTTGTCTGATTATTTGCTTTTATTTGCACTATCTATGCACATTTCACTCTATGTTTTAAATTATGAACAAATGTTATCTAGGACCTTTAAAGAAATGTCAAATTTAAAAAAACACTGTCATCTTCACTGTGCAAGTAAAATATATGTCATATTAAAAGGTCTCTGTATATAGCCCTTAACTCATAACACCGCCAGAACAGTTTATTATTATAACTTAATATTGTTATATTAATGATCTAGCATATGAAAACACTTCTTACAGACTCTTCTTAAGGGCATGTAAAAAAACAGGTGTTGAGTAAAAGCACTTAATTTCTTATGCCTTTTCTCTCACAAAGTATTTTGAGATATTTGTTTTCTACATGATATAACTTAGATATTATATTCATTTCTTATATCACATCTATCAAAAAAGGAAACTTAAAATAGAAAATTCCCACATCTTATCCACACGTGTTTTATTTTAACATTTAACATTATGAACTAGAGATCATATTATGGGACAGCAGTAAATCTGAACATTTTCACAACTTCAAGTTTAGGGTCAAAGGTGGTCATATCATAATCATTTACTATGTAGAGCATGTGAAACCGTGATTTTCTACTCTTGCAGTTGCCTAATACTGTTTCTGAGATGTAAAATAATGGACAAAACATGTAGGTCCCACACCATAGGTCACATCTGCATGGTGACCCTCAACATTTTAGTTGGCTGAATTTATAGAAATAAAAGCATAATTTCATCACACATTGACTATATAGATAGTTAAATGTAACCAGCTTGCTCACTTCTTATAATTGTTTTTGCTTTTCATGGAAATATTTTCGTATAGCAACAGATCAACTAAAGAAGTGTAAAGCACCAAGGTTTACTGAAGTAGAGACAATCCAACCCAATAAGAATGAATTTAATCACAACTTTAACATGAGTTACAGATGTAAAGGAAAACTGGAATATGGCCACTCAGTCTGCATCAATGGAAAATGGGACCCTGAGCCAAACTGTACAAGTAAGCTTTTATTCATATTGTCTTCTAGTGATTACTCTAGTCTTTTCTCACCAACAGCAGTGGTTTCTTTAAATTCTTAACACACTGTACATTTTTTAATTCATATATGAATACTGTACTTATATTATTTCTTCTGCTCCCTCTTTCCACTCCAACTCCAACTCCTCTTGTGCCCCCCCTACTTCAAGTCCAATTCATGACCTCTTCTTCTTATGTATGTATTAGTATACATATATAAATGATGTATACAAACAAAACTTGTATATATAAATTCAGTGTAATGAGCCCATTTAATGTCTCTCCTGTGTGTATGTGTTTAAGAGTAAGTACATGGAATTGGATAAACTATTTGTTTGTACCTCATTCTGTGTAAAGACTGATTATTCTATTCCAGATAGCCATCAATTGCCTGTAGGTCTTCATCTAGGGAAAGAGCCTTGTAGGATTTTCCCTAGACATACTAATATGTCAGCTGGCATTGTCATCACCCACAGCTTTTTTAGGTGACCACCCTTTTGAGATTTCATGAGTTCAGATACCCTGCCATATATGAATACACAGATTTCCTGGGAAAATACTTAATCTAGGAGATGGCTTAGAAATTACTGTATCATGTTTGTTAGTGACCTGTAGTGTAAAACATACAAAAAAAAAAAAACTTGATTAACATGATTTTTTCTATGTGTCCTAAAGGTCCCTCACTCTTATGTTTCCATTACATCTAATTATTTTATCATAACCAATGTGCTGTGCCTTTCTATGCCTCTGCTGAATCATCGTGCATTTCTGTTTGATTGCATGTACTGTCAATCTAACAGATCACTTATTCTTTTAACAATCGACCTGTTCACCTAGAAAATTCTGACTCATATGACTCCTTCAATTCCATGTCACTAGGCAAGAGGGCCACTCCACTACTTTTGCTTCCTTATTTGTATTCATCACTGTTATTTTGGATGCCTTGCCTGACTCTATATTTTAAACGATTTCTAAAGAGTAAAATTCACAGAGAGTATTTCCATTTCATTCCAAAGTTAAACCCATTACATACATGTTAATAGAGTACATATGATGTTCTGTAGTTGCCTGTGATTTTATCATGTCTGATATTATTTTGATGGTAGTACTAAGACAGTAATAGTTTTTCTTTCCTGTATGGCTAGCTAGCTATTTAAAGAATGTGAAAAAAATTTATTAATTTATTTCTACTCAACTTTACTTAAGCAGAAATATTAACAAATGAAGCTTTTAATAACCAATAAGAAAGCATAGTGTCATGTTACGAATCTGAAAGATGAATCTGAGCAGTCCTTATTTTGTACTGATTTATACAAAATGTTTCAGAATATTGTTAATACCAGTACTAATTTTTTATTATCCTGGATGTCTGCCACCAGTTTCCATATCTCTAACCAATTCATGTTAAATGGGATCCAGGGTAGTTGAAATTTTGAATAACGAATTACAAACCATTTGTGAACCTATTCCATACTCTTATTGACCAAGAGTCAAGGTCAAATTGATTATCAATTGTGATAACTAGTACTTTTTTTTTGACTTGGTAGAGTCCACAATTTTCTAGGGAAAAAAACACCTGTGAGCATGACTGAAAAAACATTTTTAGTTTGGGTTAACTGCGATGGAAAGATTCACTATAATTGTAAGCGGCATCATTTTATGAGCAAAATTCTCAGCATAAATTAAAGAGAAAGGTGACCTGAATACCAGCACTAACCTCTCTGTGCTCTCTGACGATATGGATAAAATAAGAGGAGTGGCTTCACACTTTTGCTTCCATGATTTCCATGCATGATGAATTAAATTAAACCTTTCCTCTTTTCCTTCCTCCCTTCCTTTTCTCCTTTCCTTCCTTCCTCCCCCTTCTCCCCCTTTCTTCATTTCTTCCATCATTCCTTCCTAAGTTGCTTTTGTCATGTATTTTTTGCCACAGCAATGAGAAAAGTCTTTAGCATATTAACTAAAAGTAAGAATCATATTCATTAATCAAATTTCATTGGTAAACTACCTCACGAGGATTTTTAATCTGATCCCACATATTAGATCATAGATATCCATAGATAAATTTAGAGAAATTTCCCTGTATTCTTAATATAATATATTTAAGTGTATAATTCAGTTAAAATATTATAAAGGTTAGAAAGAGTTGAAATAAGTTTCATAAAAATAATATAAAACTGCATTAAAAGTGAATAAAAAATTCTAAAGAGAACAAGAATAGATATTAAATTGCTATACAAGCTAAAACGTATACAATACTGACGATTATTACATGGTCATAATTAATTTACTATTTAATGAATATTATTACTTTGATAATTTAAGATACTATCTTTAGTAAAGAACTCTCTTTTTTTTTTATGTTTTCTAGGAAAAGAGAAAACATCCTGCCCTCCTCCACCACAGATTCCCAATGCCCAAGTGTTCGAAACCACAGTGAACTATTGGGATGGAGAAAAAGTGTCAGTTCTTTGCCAAGACAATTACCTAGCTAAGGACACAGAAGAAATGGTGTGCAAAGATGGAAGGTGGCAGCCATTACCACGCTGTGTTGGTCAGTAGTTCTGAATTACTTCACAACAATATTTCTTTGAATATTGAAGAGAACTCAGGTGAAAGGGTGGGGTATTGAAAATTGAGGGCATAAAATATATACTATAGAGACATTATCCACTTTCTTTTTATTTCCAAGAGTAAAACGTTTTATTTCTGCTTGACTATTTTATTTTTGTTCTTCATGTAGCAAAAATTCCATGTTCTCAGCCCCCTAAAATAGAACACGGATCTATTAAATGGCCTACCTTGTCAGAAGAAAGGAGTAATGCAACTGAGTCCAGCAGTCATGAACACGGCACAACCTTCAGCTACGTTTGCGATGATGGTTTCAGGATAGCTGAGGAGCATGGGGTAACCTGCTACATGGGAAAATGGAGCTCTCCACCTCGTTGTGTTGGTGAGAGCAACATGAATATTCAGTTCTGGTTTTAGAACAAGTCATTACCAATAATCTATTTTCCTCCAAACCAGGAGAAAGAATGATTTAGAATGGCACATAATCATTTATATACTTTAACCATAAATTTTCACTTGCATGATTCAATCTAACCTGCTTTTTGAGTTCATTGTCTTGACTCAGTCTTGAGATCCACTTTCATTCTCACATTTGTGTTTTTAAATGCAGTGTATAGTCGCCTGACTTCACCTGCTCATGTGAGTTGCAGTGTTGGATTTGCCACCAGGTGTTGAAGTCCTAAGTGTCTTTTTCCAACCATGTGCTCTCCCCCCAACTCCCCACTCAATACATATAGCATGTTCCATGAGATTATTAATTCTTTGGGTTTTTTTTTTCTGTTTGTCACTTATGATTGTCAGACATTGGTGACAAGTTTTTACTCAACTTTGAAGGTGTTTAACAGATGCCACAGACCAGAATTTGGCCTTTGGAAGCACTGTCCTCTCTTTTATGATGGCATATCCTCCTTGTTAACATTCCCTTCTGTTACTACTGCACATAGGACTGAGGCATGTACGTGAATTTTTGAATTAGTGCAAGGTGCAATCATTTCACCATGTTATTTTCATTGTGTGTGTGTGTGTTTTTTTTTTCCAGGACTTCCCTGTGGACCTCCACCATCAATTCTTCATGGTATTGTGTCTCATGAACTAGACAGTTACCAATATGGAGAAGAGGTTACGTACAATTGTTCTGAAGGTTTTGGAATTGATGGACCAGCATTTATTAAATGTGAAGGAGAAAAGTGGTCCCAGCCACCAGTTTGCATAAGTACAATTATATTTTCATTTTTTATGTAATATACAATCTAATTCAATATGTGGCACAATATGTGGCACAAATAAGAAAGTAAGCCGTAGTTTCAGAGCATAAGAAGGTTTTGCTGAACAGTTCTGGATACCAGCAAGCAGAGACAGTCCTAGTAAAACCATAGTTTTACCTTTTGAGAGGAAAGTTTGTGTTCACTTCATGTAGTCTGAGTTATCAGCATCCTCAGACTTCTAGAACACACTGGCTCTGCTCCACAGGCTCATCACTGTGATGGTAGCTTTAGCAGCAATGCCACTACAATAACATACGCTTTAAATTTTTGAAATTATCATTATGAGTAATTTATCTTTGATGAAATAAAAAGTAGATGGATGGCATACAAAGTAAATAACCTGTGATTAATATAAAAATAAAAATTAATAAAAAGTAGAATATAGCATAAATGTGGAAAGTATGAGAGAACAAATGGCTATAAAATTTAGAAATTTCAAGAATTATAACCATGAGGATTCTGAATCTATCTTATTTATTTAACTTATTTTTTTTAAATATTGGACAATTCAATATATGTCAAAATGGGGAACATATAGCATTTATTTTTCTCTATGAACCTAACTATTGCTTCATATATTTCTACAATTTTCTGAAAACATACCTACATATTTTTTTATTTTATTTTATTTTTAGAAACTGATTGTAACTATACACCCAAGTTTGAAAATGCCATGCTTGAAGAAGTGGAAAAATATTCATATAGGTCAGGAGAACAAGTGACATTCAAATGTTCACCTAATTATCAGATGGTCGGGACCAACACTGTGACATGTGTTAATAGCAAGTGGATTGGACAGCCGGTATGCAAAGGTAGTTTGATGCACTTTCAACATTTATTCATTTAAGTTTCAGAGCACTGATAAAAAGTTCTAGTCTAATTTAAAATTGGGCAGAGGTTAGAATTTAAAGCAAAATGAAGTTTTGCTTTAAAATGGTTTATGTTTAAAGTAAAAACATGGATTTGAAAATCCAGTACCTAAGCTGATAGAACAATGGTCTCCAGAGTAAGGTTCCAAGGCCAACATCATCAGTATCTTTGGACCATGTTTTATAAATGTAAATTAACACTGAGAAGCCCATTCTAAATATCCTAAATAGAAAAGCATCTAGAGGTGAGACCTTGAGTTTTCTATAAAGTCCTTCAGGGCATCTGTGTAGGACTCAGGTTGGAAAGTGTTGTATGCTGTAACATTTGTAGATGCATTAAAAAAAAAAAAAAAAAAACTCTTTCAATTGAGGTCCTGCATGTATCTCATTTTCTCTAATTGATTAGGATATTTTATTTAACCCTCATTCTTATACCTATGTTAGTCTTAAAACAAGAAGCTTTTCAGCCTGATATTGAAAATATTTTTTTCCTCACATGATATGTTTTCCCCACCTCTACGACTCCCAGTTTGTTTCTACCTCCTGTCCCGTCTGGACCTATCCCCTTTCCATATTTCATGAGAAAAGAAATAGCCGAAACAAAACAAAAGAGATACATTGTGAGGAAACAAAAGAAACAATGTTAGTGAAAAGAGCAGAAGAAAAGACACAGGAAACTAATCTGAGAGACACAAAGCCCCAGTTGTTTACATACGTGAGAATCCACAAAAATACTGACCTTTGGGTAAGAACAGAGAAAAAATATATATTAAAAAAAAAAGAAACGAAAAATGAAGATGGAATTTTTTAAAAAGCCCAAAGCTGCCTTTGAGTTTGTTGTTTGATGCAGGCTACACTTAAAAGCAGTTTGTTTCTCAAGTGGGGCTCCCTTGAAGAACTGTAAACTTTCAATTACAAGTGCTTATCAATTGGAGATAACTTCCGGGTTAGGGATGGGGGCATGTGTCAGCTTCCCTCAGCTTTAGCATCCCACCTGGTCCAGACGGATGAAAGCCCTATACATGCTGCCTCAGTCTCTGAGTTCATATGTGTATCAATCTTGTTGACTTAGAGGCCTTGTTTTCTTTGTATCCTCTATCTCTTCTGGTTCTTAAATTCCTTCAGTTGACTGTTCTGCACGGTTCCCTGAGCCTTGTGAAGAGGGATTTGATGGCAACATCCCATTTAGGGCTTAGTGTTCTAACAGCTTTACATTAATGTCTGGCTTTGGGTCTCTATATTTGTTCCTATCTGCTGCAGGACAAAGCCTCTCAGATGATGACAGAGCAAGGCAGTGATCTATGAGTCTATAAGAATGTCACCTGGAAGAAGAAGAAGAAAAAAAAAGAATGTCATTGGAGTCCTTTTATTATTACGCGTTTTCTGTTGCTGTTGTTTGTTTTTATTATAATAATATTTGGTCTCACAGTACTCTTAGGTTCTGGGCACATAGTATCAGGTTCTTGGTCACCCAAGCAGTGTCAGAGTTTCATCTCTTGGAAGGGACCTTAATTCAAATCAGATATCTTTGGTCTCTCCAACAAGCCTTGTGCCACCATTTTCCTAGCATAACTTGCAGGCAGAATAACGTATTTCAAGGTTTTGTGGTTGGGTTGGTGGTTTATGTTTGGTAGCATGCAAAGTACCTTCCTGTACCTAAGATGCTTGCCTTTAGGAGTGAAAGCATTATATAGGCACCAACTAAACTTTGCTATGTTCAGTGAGTTGTGTAAGTGTTGTCTCTCACAACGTGGCCTTCCCTCCAGTGTGTGGAAAACAGTTTGTCTTGTCACCAGCCTGGGTTGTTTGGAAGTCTCCATGTGACCCTTTGGTTACATGGATGGATTTCGTTACAGTTAGATGTAACCTAATCCCAGTATTAGGAACTTTATTTAGTAAGAAGAAATGTCCATTAGGGCTCCATCCTCCCAAATTTTGGTGATTTCTTAGACTGCCTTCATATATGTGTGTGTGTGTGTATATATATATACACATATATATGTGTATATATACATATATATGTATATGTATATATAATAATATGTATATATATATATGTATATATAATAATATGTATATATATACATATTATTAGTTACATTTTATTAACTCTGTATTCCAGCTGTATCCCGCTCCCTTATTCCCTCCCAATCTCACCCTCCCTCCCTCAGCTCCTTCCTGCCCCTTTCCAAGTCCACTGATTGGAGAGGACCTCCTCCCCTTTCGTCTGGCCCTGTTTTATCAGGTATCTTCAGGACTGAATGCAAAGTCCTCCTCTGTGGCCTAGCAGGACTGCTCCTCTCTTGGGGGGTGGGGAGTATTCTATTCCATTGTATAATAATACCACAATTTCTGTATCCATTCCTCCGTTGATGGACATCTGGGTTGTTTCCAGGTTCTGGCTATTATGAATAAAGCTGCTACAAACATGGTTGAGCAAATGTCCTTGTTGTGTACTTGAGCAAATTTTGGGTATATACTTAGCAGTGGTATAGCTGGGTCTTAAGGAAGCGTTATTCCTAATTGTCTGAGTATGTGCCAGATTGACTTCCACAGTGATTGTACCCGTTTACGTTCCCACCAGCAGTGTAGTAGGGTTCCCCTTTCTCCACAACCTATCCAGCATGTGCTATCACTTGAGTTTTTGATATTAGCCATGTTGATGAGTGTAAGGTGAAATCTCAGGATCATTTTGATTTGCATCTCTCTGATGGCTAAGTGTTTCTCTGCCATTCGATATTCCTCTATCAAGAATTCTCTGTTTAGCTCTGTTCCCCATTTTTTAATTGGATTACTTGGTTTGTTGCTTTTCAGCTTCTTTAGTTCTTTACATATACTGGATATTAGCCCTCTGTCAGATAAAGGGTTGGTCAAGATTCTTTCCCAATCTGTAGACATTCGTTTTGTTTTGATGACAGTGTCCTTTGCTTTATAGAAGCTTTTCAGCTTCATGAGGTCCAATTTATTGATTGTTGCTCTTAGAGCCTGTGCTGTTGGTGTTCTGTTCAGGAAGTTGTCTCCTGTGCCAATGAGTTCTAGGCTGTTCCCCACTTTTTTTTCTAACCGATTTAGAGTATCTGGTTTTATGTTGAGGTCTTTGATCCACTTGGAATTTAGTTTTGTGCAGGGTGATAAATATGGATCTATTTGCTTTTTTCTGCATGTAAACATCCAGTTGGACCAGCACCATTTGTTGAAGATGCTGTCTTTTTTTCCATTGAATGATTTTGGCTGCTTTGTCAAAAATCAAGTATTCATAGGTGTGTGGGTTTATTTCTGGGTCTTCTATTCAGTTCCATTGATCCTCCTTTCTGTTTCTATGCCAATACCATGCAGTTTTTATTACTATTGCTCTGTAGTACAGCTTGATATCGGGGATAGAGATACCTCCAGAAGATCTGTTGTTGTACAGGATCATTTTGGAGATTCTGGGTGTTTTGTTTCTCCATATGAAGCTGAGAATCTTTTTTTCAAGGTCTGTAAAGAATTGAGTTGGTATTTTGATGGGAATTGCGATGAATCTGTAGATTGCTTTTGGCAGGATGGCCATTTTCACAATGATAATCCTACCAATCCATGAGCACGGGAGATCTTTCCATCTTCTGAGATCTTCTTCAATTTCTTTCTTCAGAGACTTGAAGTTTTTCTCAAACAGATATTTCACTTGCTTGGTTAGTGTCACCCCAAGGTACTTTATGTGATTAGTGGCTATTGTGAAGGGTGTTGTTTCCCTAATTTCTTTCTCAGCCCTTTTGCCCTCAGGAGGGCTTCTGATTTTTTTGAGTTGATTTTGTATCCTGCCACTTTGCTGAAGGTGTTTATCAGCTGGAGGAGTTCTCTGGTTGAATTTTGGGGGTTGCTCATATATACTATCATATCATCTGCGAAAAGTGAAACTTTGACCTCTTCCTTTCCGATTTGTATCCCCTTGATCTACTTTAGTTGTCTTATTGCTCTGGCTAGGACTTCAAGTACTATGTTGAAGAGGTATGGAGAGAGTGGACAACCTTGTCTTGTCCCTGATTTCAGTGGGATTGATTTAAGTTTCTCTCCATTGAGTTTGTTGTTGGCTATAGGCTTGCTGTATATTGCCTTTACTATGTTTAGGTATGTGCATTGTATCCTTGATCTCTCCAAGACTTTAAACATGAATGGGTGTTGGACTTTGTCAAATGCTTTTTCAGCATCTAAGGAGATGATCATGTGGTTTTTCTCCTTCAGTTTGTTTATGTGGTGGATTACATTGATGGATTTCTGTATGTTGAACCACCCTTGCATGCCTGGGATGAAGCCTACTTGGTCATGGTGGATGATATCTTTGATGTGTTCTTGGATTCGGTTTGCAAGTATTTTATTGAGTATTTTTGCAACAATGTTCATTAGAGAGATAAGTCTGAAGTTCTCTTTTCTTGTTGGATCTTTTTGTGGTTTATGTATCAAGGTGATTGTGGCTTCATATAATGAGTTTGGTAATGTTTCCTCTGTTTCTATTTTGTGGAATAGTTTGGAGAGAATTGGAGTTAGCACTTCTCTGAAGGTCTGATAAAAATCTGCACTGAATCCATCTGGCCCAGGAATTTTTTTGGAAGGGAGACTGTTGATGACTGCTTTTATTTCCTTGGAGGAAATAGGACTATTCAATCTTTCTACCTGATCTTGACTTAATTTTGGCAAATGGAATCTATCAAGAAAATTGTCGATTTCTTTAGATTTTTGAATTTTGTGGCTTATAGGCTTTTGTAGTAAGACCTAATGATTGTTTTAATTTCCTCTGTGTCTGTAGCTATGTCCCCCTTTTCATTTCTGATTTTGCTGATTTGGATAGTTTCTCTCTGCCTTTTAGTTAGTTTGGCTAAAGGTTTGTCTATCTTGTTGATTTTTTTCAAAGAACCAGCTCTTGGCTTCATTGATTCTCTGAATAGTTTTATTTGTTTCTAGTTGAT